ATTTACTTGAATGAAACAGGTATCAAAAGTGAGGGATTTGGTTAGAGACAATTGTTTGCATAGGGATATAAAACAGGGAGGCAGGGTTATTGAGACTGTGGTGATTAGGTTTATAGATTTTAATCTTTATGTATAGGCTCTGATGTGGCACTGTAGGTTCAGCTCTGGACTGCAAACCACAAGGTTGACAGTTCAAACCCACTAGTGACTTCTCAGAAATCCAATACGGGGTAGCTATGATGACTTGGCGCTATGACTCAGCGGCACTTAACAATAACAACAGCATGTATAGGTAACCAGGAGTTATTGTTTAAGTGGACAATGAAGCAAATGAAAGGATTTCTTAGCTAAATATGGTTGAGGGTTCACAAGATCGATCTGATGAAAGACACATGTTATGAGACAAAAGAAAATGAGAAGCATAATTGGAATGGTCACTGATGAATTAAAAAGGAACACTGAAAATAAAGAACTGGCAGAATTTATCTACTGATGGAATGGAGAATTCACCAATAGTTAATTCTCTGTACTTGTAACCTAAGAATTTAGGATATTCCTAGTTTGTTGTTGTTGTTGTTTTAGTACCTTCGAATTGGTTCTGACTCATAGCAACCCTGTATAGGGTTTCCAAGGAGCAGCTGGTGGATTTGAACCATTGCTCTTGCAGTTCAAACTGACCTTGCAGTCCAGTGCTTATCCTATACTGCCACATCAGGAGTCCTTTCTTAATTTAAATCTATACAATTTACTGCACATAAAGTTAATGAATATTATATTCTTTTCAGTATAAGAAGATTAATTCACTCTTATTACATAGCTTCTGGATATATCTGGGAAAAATATCCTAAATTCCTACAGATCTAGCGCTTGAGATTACTCCATACAGATGCTATTGTTAGGTGCCATTTCGTTGGTTCTGACTCATAGCAACACTATGCACAACAGAACAAATCATTGCTGGGTCTTGCACCATCCTCACCATTGTTGTGATGTTTGAACCCATTGTTGCGGCCACTGTGTCATCCATCTTATTGGGGTCTTCCTTTTTATTACTGACCCTTCACTTTACCAAGCATGATGTTATTTTCCAGGGATGGTTCTCTCTAGAAAATGTGTCCAAAATATGAGAGACAAAGTCTCACCATCCTGGCTTCTAAGGAGCATGCTGTTTATACTTTGTCTAAGACATGTGTGTTTTTCTCCTGACAGCTCTGGAGGTGCTCACTTGTGTATACCAAGACATTTGGACTATAGTTACCTCACCAATGAATTGAAAATGATCCATATTTATGCACACTGCAAAGAAAGGTGACCCAACGGAAATCATCAAAATTTCTTGACACAGACGAGTGAGCACCTCCAACACTGCATCGTTTGTTAAAACATGAAGTATAGCTGGAGTGCTCCTTAGAAGTCAGGATGGCAAGACTTTGTCTCACATAAATTGGACAAGTTATCTGGATGGATCAGCCCTTGGAAAAGGACATCATGCATGACCAAATAAAGGGTCAGTGAAAAAGCTGAAGACCTTAAATGAGATGGATTGAAATAGCGGCTGTAATGATGAGCTGCAGAATAAGAATGATTGTGAGAATGGCACAGGACTGAAAAGGGTTTTATTCTGTTATGTGTAGTTTTGCTATTACTCAGAAATTACCCCACAGTGCCTAACAATAGGTGTATTAAAGAGTATAAAACAGAAGTATAAAAGAGTACGTAATCACTTCTTAAGGAGCTCTGGTGGCACTGTAGGCTAAGCACTTGGCTGCTAACAGCAAGGTCAGTAGTTCAAACGTACCAACTGCTCCAATGTAGAAAGAAAAGGCTGCCTGCTCTTATAAAGATTTACGATTGCGGAAACTCTGTATAGGGTTGCTATGAATTGGAAGCGGCTTAATGACTGTGAATTTGTTTTTTTTGTTTTAAACCACCTCCTTAAAGTCATATAAAGAGCTCTGGTAGCGTAGCAGTTATGAATCGGGCTGCAAACCGCAAGGTCAGCAGTTCGAAACTACCAGCTGCTCCACGGGAGAAAGATGAGGCTTTCTGCTCTCATAAAGATTTACAGCCTCGGAAACCCTGTTCAGGGTCGCTATGAGTCAGAACCAAATTGGCGGCACTTAACAACAACAACAACAACAACAACAAAATAGCTCAGTATCAGGTAAAATATTTTATCTAAAGCATTAGAACTTGGGTTTTTGTTTTGTTTTGTTTTCTACCTTAAATGGTGGTGTGGCCCTGCAGGATAAGCACTGGACTGAAAGGTCAGTTTGAACTTCAAGTTTGGCAGTTCAAACTCACCAGGGTCGCTATGACTCAGCAGTGACTCAACAGCACTTAACAACCACCTTAGCAATAGCCAGAATACATTTGAGGCAACAATCAAGCAGTAGTTATTTGTTGTATATGTAGGTCCTCAAGCCTGCTTGGTACCTGGAGGAAAGTGTAATATTCTTGCTCTTTCCCAGACATGTGGACATACTACATGGAGTTTTAATTCGGAACAAAAGCACAGGCTTTTAACCATTTGGCAAGTAAGATGAAATACTGTTACTGCTCTGTTGGGGGAGACAAATTTACATATGAAAAATCCTAGTACCATAATGCAACACACTGAAGTGTCTATCTGTAAAAACTAGCAAACATTATTGGCATTAAGAGCAGAATGTCAAAGGAAAAAGGAACAGAAACTTCAAATACTTATTGAGTTCCCACTCCATGAAACATGTTTTATTTGCTGGCGGAATACACTGAGTAAGAAATCCCTAGACACTTGGTTTGGGCCTGGAATGACAATGAGCTGGATTTGTATAGGAAAGAGGAAATAAAAAAGTGCATCCCATTCAAGGAGAACACGGACTACAACACAGTGACAGAATAAAGGTGGATTGTAGGGTAGGACAAGAGCCAACAAGGGTAAAGGAAGGCTAATTTTACGTAAGTCTCCTGATTTAAAGCAAGATTTTGAAGCATTTTATGATATTAAGTGGGGAAACATTGCATTGCCTCTTCATCAATGTAACATGTCCTCTTTTTTGTTTATTGGTTTTATTTATTTGTTATTGAATCCACAATGTTCTCTAGAGTTGGGGAAGAAAAGAGAGATTAGCATGATTTGTATTTTACTTAAATTATAGGAATAAAGGCAGCAGATCATTAAGCTACAGTTCTGACAACTTCCTCTCCCAAAGGACAGAAGAGGGTTGTTTGGTTACTCTGCAGGACTTCAGTGATCTTCATGTTAAGGTATCTTTATTAGGCTCCACTACGGTGAGATGTAACTTTGGGGATCAGGGTTACCCCTTGTTTATATTTTTTTACCTGGTGTGGCTCTGTGGCTTAATGATCTGGACTGCAAGTTTGGTTTGAACCATAGGGCTGGTGATTCCAGCTCACTAGCCACTCCTCAGATACCCTATACCTATAGGTCAGAACTGACTCAACAGCTCTTAACAACAAGAATGGTGAGATGTAACTTTACCCTTAGAGCCCTGGTGTGGTGGAGTCCTGGTGTGGTGCTGTGGGTTAATGCGCCAGACTGCAAAGCTGTTTAAACTGCAAGGTTGGTGGTTCAAACTCACCAGCATTTCCTTGGAAACCCTATACAGGGTCACTATGGGTCAGAACCGACTCAATGGCACTTAACAACAACAACATACTTATTTACCTGCTTAGGGTAAAGATTTCTGGGGCATATCTGCAGGTGGAGGACAACTAGCCATTCTCTTAAGAGAACATAGTGGCATTGGGAGAATGAGACTACAGTGGTGTTTTGGTACCTTTGAAAGTATTTGATAAAATTCCAATCCAGTTCTAAAGGCCTATCTCTCAGTGGAGAAAAAATGCTGATAGTACCAGATCATGCAGGAATCACTGTAGCGCAGCTTGAACAAATGACTGTATATTTTCTTTATATTCTGACTTTGTGATTAGTAATCTGATCCTGTTAGTAGATAACGGTTTTTTCCTTTGTCCTTGCAGTCTTTCTAGTTGGCGAGATTTTAAAGTAAATAGAATAGGCAACCACTAGGAGGTACCCGTGCTGAGGGTCGATGGCAGAGCTAACAGAAATGGCTAACACGGGTCCAAGCGGGTGGCGCTTTTCCAAGGTCGGGTTGCGATAAGCTAGTATCCGGTGCGAGAAAAACGTTTCAAAACATATGATTCTTGAATCTAAAAGGTGCAGACGGCGAATGCCTGCCTCTCCAAAGCATTCTCGCGTCTTGTGGTCTGCGTACTTACGCGCCAGCTGCTTGCACATCTGGCTGCAGCAGCGCCTTTCCCTGCAGGGCGGAAAAGAGGCGGAGGACTCCTGTGAGCGCGCGTGCGCCAGTGTGTGTGTTTTTTGTGTATGTGTGCGCGTGTGTATACACGCGCGCGCGCATGGGTGTCGGCTGGAGCCGCGACTTAAGGACTGGCTAAAGGGGGTGGGGGTCCTGGAAGGAATAAGTCATCGCCGACCTCCTCGCGCCTTACTGCGGGTTAATAATCAACCAGTTAGAGAAAGATGAGGGTTACGGCGGCTGGGTGACAGCCCGGGCACGCCGGCTGCGTGGGGAAGGGTCGGGATATCAACCAGTCTCTGCCACACTCAGGATTTATTATATTTGAGGGATGGTAATATTTTTTATTGTCTGCTTCTCTCCTCTGAGAACAAGGGCAGGAGAGAGGTGTTCGCGCCCTCGCTGAGTGTCGCGGATCAAAACCGGTCGAAGGAGGCAATTTTGCTAGTGGGGGAGGGAGGGAGAGACCTTGATTTCAACCAATCCCCAGGCGTTTGTCTGCGAAGTCCGGGGCGCAGCGGAAGGCTGCGGCGCGCCGCTGAATTAACTGATGAGAGCGAGTTCTTTTATTCTCCAAGAGGGGTGGGGAACGAGGGTCTTGACTGGCGAGGCGGAGAAGCCCGGGGCAGGATAGCGGTCCCGGGCCACCGTGGAAATTTCCAAGGACTTGGCGCGGCGCGGAGAGCGCGTTTGCGGGGTGCCTGGCGGCGCAGCAGCACGGGAGGCGGGGGAGAGGCGGCGAAGGGCATCACTCAGAAGGGACGCCGCGGCTAAATGTCTAGGGGGGGAGCCGAGCTTCTCCCCGGACCCGCGCGGAGGGCGACCGTGATGCTGCAGAACCCGCGTGAGCGACTTGCCGCCGCCGCTCTCCCGGCTTTCGGAGATCCCAGTGCCCGCCTTCTGCAGGGGAAGCGACCATGGCCATAGCTCGTGACTTGTCCCCCGGCTACTTCGCCTGGAAAGAAAGCCTTGAAAAAGTTGCATTGTAAAAATCCTTGCGCTGACCCTTGGGGCCGTAGAGACTGAGCGTGTGCACACAGGAAATCGGACCGTGTGTGTGCATGGGGGGGCGTTGGTGTGGGGAACCTCCTCTGTCACTTCACCAAGTGTTGTGCTGAGACTCTGGCCACCATCTCTCCCCGGCATACTGGGGCTGCGATGAGCCCCTGTGGGCGGGTACGGCTACATACATCCAGAGGGGCCATGGCTGTACTGGCGTGGAAGTTCCCGCGGACCCGGCTACCCGTTGGAGCCAGTGCCCTCTGTGTTGTGGTCCTCTGTTGGCTCTACATCTTCCCGGTCTACCGGCTGCCCAACGAGAAGGAGATAGTGCAGGGTGTGCTGCAACAGGGCACTGCGTGGAAGAGGAACCAGACGGCGGCCAGAGTGTTCAGGTACCCCTGTTCTTCCTGCCTCTCTCCTCTCTCGTCCTTTTATCCTCAGCGCTCAAGAGGATTGGGAGGCGTCCTTTTCACCCAGTCCTTGGTGTCTTACTCCTTTCCCAACCGTTGCCAGACTAAAGAATTTAGTCAGGTTTTCTTTCCCACCCCTCACCCTACGAGATGGGAAGACTCGCGCTCTTTTAAAGACTGCACACTTCTTCCCAAGTCTGTTTTATTTAATGATCTGCCAAAAAACGGTAGGAAGGATAACTTCTTTGCACTTAATGAGAATTCATTTACTGGACTCCACAGACGTATGAAGCAGACACTAGAAGCAGGGAAGAGGTATCTTTCCGAGATACACTCAACAGTGAGAGAAGTGATGGGTAAGGTTTGGGCAGCGAAAGCATAACATAGATACCCAGCTGGGATCTTGAGGTTTTGCGCAGTGTACTCACTGCAAACACACAACAGTTACAGACGTCCTCTTGGGAGTCAAGTAGCATGCGTTTGTGTGTGTGTGTTGAAGTCTCAAAAACTTTTTAGTAACATATTATTATCCCTATTTTAGCGACCACAAACAGTCTTTGGAAGCTTAAGTTACTTGCCCAAGGTCATGCGTCTTTGAAGTGTGGGAGACGGAATTTACATCACTTAAAGCTCCTAAACTCCCAGCTGCTTCTCCTGGATGATGGGAGAAGTGCTTTAGGTACAGTCTTGAAACGTGTGTGTGTGTGTGTGTGTGTGTGTGTGTGTGTG